CACGAAGTTGGGGTCATCTCGAGGATCAACCTCCATTTTAACGTCCCCGTTCGGTTCAGTAGAACCATTCTTTTCTTCCTCGTCCTCAGACTCGTCTTCATCATCAATGTCAGTCAGATCAGAGTCAGAATCCGACGTAGCACCAGTGGTTCCTTTCGTTTTGGCATCTTCGGGCTTCTCGTGGTCCGAAAGGTCAGTCAGGTCGGAATCCGCATCGAACAAGGCCTCCACTTCCTTTGCATCGGGTGTTTGCTTCTTTTTCCCTTGACTATTGGAACCCGTAGTGTCCTTGAGCCATTCATCTGGAACTTTTTGCCACCCATCTGTGCCGCCACGGCGAGAGACCCGGGAGCCCATACGCGCTCCATTGGTACCGTTCGTCTGTTTACTTTGCGCCTTGGTCGGTTTAGACTGAGTTTCACGAGGTTTGGCTTTGCTTTTCGAGGGTGCAGGTTTAGCAGCGGCCTTTTGGGGGGCCTTGCGCTTGGCGGGTTGCTGTGCACCTTTGGTCGGATGTTTTTTCCGCTTTAAATCCACTTTGGGGACCTCTGGTGGCGCAACGGATCTCCTGATCCACAAACGGTCGCCTGCGGGAAGGGGTGAGGGAAGGAGAGTGGCAAGACTCTGAGGACGTACGACCAAGGTGCCAATACTCATTCCTCTTGGAATCTTTTCCTATAGGTGAAGAGCGCTATATAGAGCACTGTCAGGACTGCAGAACCCAAGGGCAAAGGCTACCATGCACGTACCCATGAGGCGTCGTCGCTGTCGTCTTTCATGCTTTGTCTGACCCTGAGTGGGTTCTGGAATTGCCATTCACAGAGGTCATGGAGGATATCTAGGCGATTCATAAAGCCAAGTTCCGCCCACGCAATGGGTTCTTCCTCTGTTCCCCAAACGCGGTTTTCGGGTACTCGGCGAGCGTATAGACGACGAAGATAGGTTTCCCAAGTGTCCGGGCTGAAAAAAACGCGTTAGACAAAGCGAAAAGACGCGACGAAGGCGTAGGAGAAATAAACATACGCTAGGCCTCGGATGGACGTTAAGACATGGAGTATTTTAATAAAGACAGACATGATAGTTTCAGATGTGCCGCGAATAAGGTCATGTTCGACATCCTGTAGAAATCCATCGAGGTCGTCAGCCTTGTCGTCTCGGTCTCTGAGCGCTGACGCCCATGCAGCCGGGAAGAGAAGAGCGCAAGAAGAACGAGAACGGGTTGAAGAGTGGAATAGGGACGTACGGCAAGATCTAAAAAATCGAGATGGAGCATTGCGTTGAATTTGTACAAAAAGTCACTCGCAGCCGCCCATTTCCATTCTCGACGAAGTTGCTTGAGCAATTCATCATAATTATCTTCGATTTTTGGGACGTCGACAGTGGGCTCAGTGGGGGCTGGGACGACATCCATGATGGCACGGCTTGCGCAAGGTCAGGAAGCAAAAAACCTTTTGAGCGTCTTTTTTTAATTTTTTACTATTTCACTCAAAATAATCTAGAAAATACGCGCAAACAAGCTACGCCACAAAAGGGGCTTCAATGGGAATATTAGAATTTTCTATCTTTCCTTGTTTCTTGCGTTCACGCGCTTTGGCAGACTTTGTCTTTTGGGGTGGCGAGAGTGGCTCTTGGTGTCTGTGCGGTAAAGGTGAGGTCAGTGTTCAAAGGACCCGAGTATATGCGCTCACGTGGCTCCTGCATCTTCAAGTTCTTTCTGTTCTTGTGTCGTTAAGTAAATCTTCATATAAGGAATGGCGTTTCTCTTAGGGCTGAGGACGTTGGTCGGCTTGTCGTAGGCAACTAGGCCAACACTTACTAGTTCTTGCCTTGTAATGCGTCTAGTATCTCGTCTCGATTCTCCTCTGGTTGTGGCAAGCAGTCGACGACGTTATACTGATGTAGCAATGTTCCATGGGGGTTACCGTCTCCCGCCTCTTTGGATGCAACAGCTCGCGCAAATTCACGTTTGATAATTTCTGCCACACTGATGAGACGAGGTATGTTGTCTATTGGCGCTGCAAGCTTTCGTTTCTTCGTCGCTGGGGGCTCCTCTCCAGCGTCTTCTTCCCGGGGCTGACTTCCATGAGGTAGGGTATGAAGCACAAGAGTAGCTCCAGGATTCTCCTTTGAAGACATTAGGAACATTCAGGTTTCCTCACACTAGGCGCACCTTCAAATAGTTGAGACAAAATGTAACATACTGCTTGATTTTGGTGTGATCAGTAATTCGAACCTCGTGAATAGCTTTGTTTTTAACTGGAGGCTCTGTATCTTCTTCCATTCAGCGGGATTGAATACGCGCGTTTGAGGCGGAGTCTAAAAGACTTATGCTCCTCCCAAAGCCGGGTTCGACAATCCTTCGGCGCTGGTCGTCCACTCTCACCGCTCATCTTGGTAGATTAGATTGAAGGAACTTGAATTGAACCGTATTGACATTGTTTAGGACGGTACCGACCTCGCACACATAAGTGCAACGAGCTGAACGAGTCCACTATCGACTCACGCGTAGACCTATGTGGATGGCTAGTCAATAATAGGTGAGTGTATTCACTGAGCAGTTTTTGAAATAATACTGAATGTATCGTTTAGAAAAGTTTCTAAAAACCTTGGCTTTTTTGTTCTGCAGGATGCGCATGGACAAGTTCAACTATTGGCGAGGCAAAGTAAAGCATCAGGAAATACAGAAGCCTCAGGGACTGTAAACGTGTCTACTCCAAACGTTTTAGCGTTGCTCGACAGTGCACCTCTCCAGTCTGTCCTTCAGATATCTGGTGTTGTCCGGCGTCGCCTTCCATCTGCTATTACTCCAGTATGTCTTAAGTATACATGGAAGGGACGTTGAGGTTTGACATTCATTCAAGGGACCGACAGGGGCGATTGAAGTCGCCGTTGATAGTGTGCAAATCCTCAATCCTGCAAAGGAAAAGCTGCCATTCTCACCTAACGATGAAGCAGCCTTGGTATGTGAAACGCAAACAGGTCAGTACTGACTATTGACGACGTCTTCCTTAAGCCAGCAGAGGAATTCCGTTTACGGCATCGACATCTTGACCTACGCCGTACAAAGCTATCCGATAATCTACGGAGACGAAGTGAAGTAGCTCATAACGTGCGCAACTTTCTACACGAGCAAGGTATGGATTGCCATCCGTGAACCACCAAGCTCTGTCTAACTCCAAAAGGCTTCGTCGAGGTCGAGACGCCTATGCTACTCAAATCGACACCAGAAGGCGCAAGAGAATATCTCGTGCCTACGCGGATATCCAAGCGCACGAGTTCTTCAGAGGCAGATGCGTCTGGGCAACCGGCATTTTATGCGCTTTCTCAGTCACCGCAGCAGCCAAAGCAAATTCTCATCAGTTCCGGTGCCGTGGAGAAATACTTTCAATTCGCCCGTTGCTTTAGAGACGAGGATGGGCGAGCCGATCGACAGCCCGAATTCACTCAAATAGATTTGGAGATGGCCTGGGTCTCGTGGGGATCGAGTAATAATGACGCTGCGGCTACTCCTACTGCGCCGTTTTCAAACTGGAGGATAGGTGGGGGTGAAGTCCGGAATGTGATTGAAGGAATCATGCGCAAGATATGGGCTCAGGATCTAGAGTTCCCTGTCATGCAGTATATGCATGCGATGGAATACGTGCGTTTGTTATGCTTCTTGCTGGGCGTTTTCGCTGAACCAGGAACAGTATGGCTCCGACAAGCCTGATCTACGATGGGACAAGAAGGTCGGAAGACGCAAAGATAAGAGGAAATATAGCTAATTTTACTACAGCTCTTGGACATCACTTATCTGCTTCCTGCCGAGGCCAGGGATCACCTTTCAGCGGCAGGGACGGCAGTCGAAGCTCTGGTTATTCCCGCTTCAGAACTTGATGGACGATGGGATATGTTAGAACAGTACCGGTCACCCACAGTGAGTCTTACTCCTTCTGCCTCTGAAAGTGCTGACGTGGTCACTAGGTAGAGATACATAAACTCGAACCTGGAGTGGATTGGAAGGGTGGCAGTCAGCTTTTCCCACAACCTACCGATGGCCAAGGGATTCAAATCCCCGGAACCGAGAACGGTGCAGCCCTGCTAATTGCGACTCGGCCAATAGCCGCTCAGGTAGGCGTTCAAGCACCCCGCATTCAACTCGCTAACTTGGGTAAAGGGTGGTTGGACATCCTTGGGTCGAGTCAGAGCAGGTCTCACTCCGCACTTTGCTCCAGGTATGCGTTTATTAGGAAGGTTTCGTCAGGTTGATACAACGCCTTGCAGACCCACAGGCTCAAAAGTTCCTTTGGGTTACGGAATTCCCACTCTTTACCCGTGCAGACGAGGATAAGGATTTCCTCGCTCATGGAAGGTGGTCGAGCTCGCATCATCCGTTTACAGCTCCAATGGTTGAGGACCTGCCTCTGCTACAACAAGGAGGATCGGCTCTTGCAAAGGTGGGTTGGACTACTAGCCTGGTAGACTCGCTGACCTCTCTACCAGATCCGCGGTCAACATTACGACCTTGTTTTGAACGGGACAGAAGTAGCAGGCGGTTCAGTGAGGGTTCACGATGCAACACTGCAGGAACATATTTTCGAAAATGTCCTAGAGGTGAGTTCATTCTACGACAATGTCACGAGTACTGATGCGGTCTAGTTGACGCCAAACGAGCGTGCTGGGTTCTCAGAGTTGTTAGAGGCATTACGTTCTGGTGCACCTCCGCACGCAGGGATCGCCATAGGTGGGCTGCAAGTGCTGTCTAATGCTCCATGCTAACTCGTAACAGGCTTTGACCGTCTGATGGCCATACTGTGTGGCGAGCGCTCGATCCGGAACGTGGTAGCGTTCCCCAAGACGGCGGGAGGAGCAGATCTGTTGTTCAAGAGTCCTACTCCGGTACCTGCGCAGACATTAGAGTTGTATGGGCTTCGAGGAATGTAATTTAGAGAGCGTATTTATCACCACTTACTTGGGCGTGATTGGATTAGTAAAAGCCCGAGCCGTAGGGATATCAATCGGTCGCGATGGTGTAGTTGGTTATCACAACTGTCTAACACACAGTAGGTCCTCGGTTCGAACCCGAGTTGCGACATTACTTTTTGCGTGTTATTGTTTTAATTTCCTGTTTCATGACGGTTGCCTATGGCCGCTGCGGATGAGAAAGTTCATTTTTGGGAGCTGCTTTAGCCGATGCCGGTTGTGAGGGCAGTATCCAAGTTTGCCGAGGGAATTCCTGCCCAGGCTTAGCATCTGGCCATTACGGAGAAGCAAAGAGCAAAGATGCACAGCTCTACGAGATCTTCGTAAAAGCTGGCACCCCCGACCGTCCTCGACTTTTACTTTGTTATTACCTTCGACCCGCTTCCTTCTTCCCAGCAAAACCATTTTTTACGCCTCCATCGTCAAACTAGTTGTAATAATCGAATCGTGACCAATGTCGCAAACGCCAGGACCCCCACCACCTTTGCCTCCAGGTGCGGGCACCGCTGGTGCTGCTGGTGCTAATGTCCGTTTCGGAGCATCTCCAGTACGCTCTCCACCTCACTCTCGAGATCAGAGTCCGAACCGTCAAGGACCGAGAGACCCGTTTATGGCGAGCCATGAGGCTTTGCCAACTACAGGCAACACTTATCAAATGAGCTCGCTCAATGTTCCCGGTCCTCCTGCGAGCTATACGACTGGAAGTAATTACGGAACGGCGCCCAGCTCGCCTTTTGAGAGCCCCGCCGATCACCATAGCCCCACTTCACCGTTCCAGCAAAATAATTCGTACAATTCGGCGCACTCGTACGCGCAAAGTACTTATTCGAGTGCGACACCGCATGTGGTTGGTGGTATGAGCACGTCTACCGTGCAGCTCAACGATTTTGGTGCCGTCGATCCTCATCATGACGCGGGTGTCGCCCATGGCCGCTACCCGCACGACGAGAGTGAAGAAAATAGGCCTCTGAACGAAGGTGCCGGCTTTTCCGGTGGTTTCTACCCACCTCCAGCTGGTGGAGCTAGGTGAGAGAATTCTTCGTTTCTCAGTTTCAACTGAGAGAATGCTCACGCGAACTTTACGGCAGTAGCATGGGAATGCCTTCCCCAAGGATCACCAATGCAAGTCTCGCCAACAATTCTTGGCGTAACCGCCAGACGATCAAACGCGGCAAGACGCGAAAGGTCAAGCTCACAAGGGGTAACTTTATCAACGAATATCCCGTTCCAACGGCTGTCAGTAATGCCATCGAGGCTAAATGGAAAGGCGCTACGGCCAGCAAAGAGTTTACGCATATGCGGTACACCGCTGCCACTTGTGATCCCGACGATTTCACAAGGGATAATGGTTGGGTTTTCCGCCAGGTCCTATACAACCGTCCCACGGAACTCTTGATTGCTATCACTAGTTATAACGAAGTGAGGCTTTTTCCTAATTTGTACTCGGGTGTACCGTACACTGACATGTCTGTAAAGGATAAAAATCTCTACTCGCGAACGCTTCACGGAGTCATGTTAAATATTCGTGATATTTGCAAAACCAAACAGAGTAAATACTGGCGCCAGTCGCAAGAGGAAGGTGCGCCTACTTTTGCGACTCTAGCCGCTTTTAATGCATATCTAACTTGGTCTGCATAGGAATTCCTGGATGGCAGCGCATCACAGTCGCAATGATTGTGGATGGACTGGACAACATGGACAAGACCGTACTCGATATCCTGGCGACAGTTGGTGTTTACCAAGACGGAGTTATGAAAAAACAAATCGGTGAGGAACACGTTTTCTGGTCATTCATAATATACTCACCTAAATCCAGACGAAAGAGATACCGTGGCGCACATCTTCGAGTACACCACACAACTTTCAGTCGATGCGACACCCCAGCTCGTCCTGCCTCATGGCGACGACGCGAACAACCTAGTTCCAGTCCAGATGATCCTCATCATCAAAGCCAAGAATCAGAAAAAGATCAACTCGCACAGGTGGTTGTTCAACGCGATCGGAAAACAATTGCAGCCAGAGATTTGCGTGCTCATCGACGCCGGTACAAAACCGGGCCACAAGAGTATCTTCCACTTGTGGGACGCATTTTATAATGACCCGAACTTGGGCGGTGCGTGCGGCGAGATTCACGCCATGTTAAAGGGCGGCAAGAAGCTCCTCAACCCTCTGGTGGCTGCTCAAAACTTTGAGTATAAAATGTCCAATATCTTGGATAAGCCGCTTGAGAGCTCGTTTGGTTATGTTTCCGTGTTGCCGGGTGCGTTTAGCGCGTATCGCTTCCGTGCTATTCAGGGACGACCGCTCGAGCAATACTTCCACGGTGATCACTCTAGTGCGTTTGAGTACCTATTACCTACGAGCGATGCTGACCTTCTTCAATATTTTAGTGGCCGATCGTCTTGGAAAGAAGGGTATCTACGGAATGAACATCTTTACCAAGAACATGTTCTTGGCAGAGGATCGTATTCTTTGCTTCGAACTGGTTGCTAAAGCCAATGCTCAGTGGACGTTGACATACGTCAAGCCCAGCAAGGCCGAAACCGACGTTCCAGAGACTGCTGCAGAACTGATCGGTCAACGTCGTCGCTGGTTGAACGGCTCTTTTGCTGCCAGCGTGGTGAGTATTTTGACGTTTTTAACCCTTTTTTTTTTTAGGGGATTCCCTTTTGTTCGGCCTTTTTTCCTTTTTTTGTTTTTTCCAGTTCCGGCCCGGGATTATTTGGTTGGTTTTTTCGGAGGAGGGGATTGCCCTTGTTTGTTGGGTTGTTATCGTGTTTTTTTTTTCTATCTCCGCTCTTTCTACTCTCTTTTCCCTTTTGTTTTTATGTTTTTTGCTTTGGCATTTTTGTGTCTCCTTTTGTGTCTTCTTCTCGCTGTTTTGCGCGACACATCTCGCGCCTCTGTTTTTTTTCTTTTGTGTTCGCGTTGTGTTGTGTTTTTCTTTTCTCTGATTTTTGAGTGTCTCTCGCTGTGTGGGGCCAGAGTCTCTGTGTTTTCTTTTTGTTTTTATGTGTCTTTCTCTCTGTGTTCTCGTTTTGCTTTTTGTTTTGGCTCTGGGCTCTGGGCCCGGGGGCGAGAGTTTTTTTTGTTTTGCCGTTTTGTTGTGTGTTATGTTGTTTTTTTTTTTTCTTTTGTTCCTCATCCGTTTCCAGGATTTATGCATTCTTATCGGTTTATCTGTTCACTTGCTCTATCATCTTGACTGTCAAGTCATTCGCCGTGCGTTCCGATGTTCTAAAATACTGCACGCGTACTCATTCTTGTCATTTTACAGAGCATAGACTTTGGAAATGCTCAGAGCGGAGGGGACAGGTTGAGTGTAATGCTCAGTGGAACAAATGGAACTCTACTCGCGGCCCTCTCAGCGACGTTTGGAATCTATCTTATCGCTTCCTTCCTCTACAGAGATCCATGGCACATGTTTACCAGTCTCCCCGCTTACATCTGCCTGGCTCCAAGCTTTACGAATGTGCTTAACACGTATGCTTTCTGCAATCTGTGAGTACTCGTGTGTTTTCTCTGTATGTGTTTTTGACTAACACGACTGGCCAGTCATGACGTCTCGTGGGGAACAAAAGGAAGTGACAAGGCGGATGTGTTACCCTCGGTTTCATCCAAGAAGGGCACGGACGACTCTCCTGCCGTTGTGGAGGATATGGAAAAGCCCCAGGAAGATATCGATGCCTCTTTCCGTGAAACTGTCGATCGTGCGGTGAAAAAGATTGAGGTCAAGGATGAACCAGAGAAGCCTACGATGGATGTGAGTTTTTTTGCTGGTATGCTTCGGGGTTTGTTGTGCTAATCGTTTTTCTGAGTCTTCTAGGAGGTTCTTTCGTCGGCTTGTTGTGTGCTGGTTGTTGTTGTCTGCTGCTATCGTGGTGGTGCTCGTCGAGATTATTGGTGGGCGAAGACCTGGTGTGTTGTCTGATGAGCTCGTCGTGGTGGTGCTCCGCACGCAAGAGGTTTTTTTCTTGATTATTCTTTTGTGGTCCTTTTTTTTGTTGTTTTTTGTGTTCTTCGTCGTGGTTGTTGTTTTTTTTTGGTGGATGATGCTGGTTTGTTTCTTATGTTTTTTCTCTCTAGTGCTTGTTCTACTTCTTCCGTAGGAATATCTTCCGCTGGTTCCGACGCGGATAGAGGTTGTGATCGTTCACCCTCAATCATGTTTAAAAGCTTTCCAATGCGTGTCTCGATGATACTGCATTATCATTTTACTAGCACGGACATACTATGCCATTGTTCCTTCTTAGATCCAGAATGTCACACTTTTTTGGCCTTGCTCACCGTAATTTACCGCGCAGGCGCTAGGCGGAGTTAGATTCTACCATACTCGTCCATTGCACGGGCGCTTTGGTAGCGCCGCCCTGTTCATATGCCACAAAAATACTATTACCCCTAATGAATCGAAGCCCGGCTCGCGGGCGATGTAGGCAACCTTCGGTTACAGCTTCACACCGCGGAATTCAACCGTAACACGGACTGCGGAGCTTAACATGTCCTCCTTCGGGTAGCTTAGGATGTTTAGAGCAACATGAATAGATTTAGGCCATCCTCTGGTCGCTGTCTATCAGTCGCCAGGTAAGAATTGACGCCTTGCGCAGTTTTGTCACTGAGGAAACCAACCTAACCACCCTTTTTATAACTGGTTTATGTGAAACTCTCACGATCGGATTTAAGCAGCCTCTGCACCAAAGTAATAGTACCGCCTCGTCTCCATCGCTCCCTGGGCCCGACACCCGGAAAGCGAGCGCGCAAGGCCGTATATCGTGGATTCTTGTCAACGAAGCGCCCTAATTCAAACGTTAGACAATACCCGGGCTTATTCTTGAATGCGGCACCAAGAGCCGCTTCGAAATTCTTTTTTTGTAACCGTCCCCCTTGTTTCCGTTTCACCTGTCACTCCTTGATGCCCGCCACCTCTTTCCTTCGTTCGAGATCAACGTCTCCTATCGGTGACGACAGTGATGATGAGAAGCTTTCCCGTCGATACTCCCGCCGCGAATCTGCAGAATGGTTCAGGCCCTCCGGCAGGATCTTCAGGTCCCGCAGTATCCTCCTCGCCGTGATTGCCAGCGCGCTGTTTGGAGTCTTTGTGACAATGGGACCATT